AGCATGAGCTCCTGCTGCTGTCTTAGAAAAGGAGGAGGAAGAGTCCCCAGAAAGCCATTGCTCGTGCACATTGCTGGATCGAGATGGGGCTCAGGTAAGTATTGGGGGGGCACTGCACACAGAAGGTTTTTTTTAATGCATTCAATTTATGAAGGTAAAACACCTAGAGCCTTTACAACCACCTGTTGGTTACTTGAAGTGGATCTGCATCCAACCCCCCCCCCCCCATTTTTTTTTCAGCCCTGCTCACTTTAAGATGGTATCTTCAGATTTCAGATACCTATCTATCTTGTGGATCCAGCATTGTCCTGCCGGGATCCTCTCATGCCCGGCCACAGCACTGTCCCATGCTACTATGTTCTTTCTGATGTCATCGAGGCCCGCAGGCTCTTCTTGGTTCAGAGGGCGGGCCTCGCGATGATGGGCCTATAGGCCTGCCCCCTCCTCCTTTCCTCTATGGAAGGCTATGTCTCCTGGGATATGTGACGTGCATATCCCAGAAGGCACATCGGGCAGTGTGCACGTCATTCACTTAAGGCAAATGACGTGAATGGGGAGGTAGGGCTGGACATTTTTACTAAAAAAGTCAACATACCTATAGAGCATGGAAGGAGGGGTTGAGTGGAGGGAAGTTGTGAAGGAGGGTGAAGGTTCACTTTGCAGCAGAAAAAAGCCAAGTCTCCCACCCTTCTAAACAGCTGTGCTGTATGACAGAGCTGTATAAATCTCAAGAATGAGTGAACAGCAGTATAAATCCTTTAGCAGGTAAAACATCTTCCATATATGTATTTCATCTGTGTATTTAGTAGTTTTCCTGAAGTTCATAAAAGAACGGGGAACTGCAGCACAAAGCACAATGAGCAAGCTAGCATGTAATGCTGGTCACAGATGGGCTTACCTAAGAATATAATAATTTTTAAAATAATTATATATTATATATGAATATATAGCTATACCTTCTGGACATAGGTTCTATTTAGAGTAATGTTAATAAATGTACACACGGAATTGCTTGCTGTAGAACCTTGCCTCTTAATACGGTATACTAAACATACAAAGATACTTTTAGTAACAAAAAGTAGAATATGTAAGAAGAGTACACGCTGCTCATAGCATCCTGACAAGCCCCTTGCTCGAAATGCTAATCTTTAGAAAAGCTTTAGATTGTAAATAGAGTTCTTTGACTCTTTTTATAAAAATGTTTTGCTTACTCAGCTTTTATGACTCCTTAATATGGGTAAACCTTAGTTTTGCTAGTGTCTTGTCCATAATTCTGAAACATCTTTGCATCAGCTTGGAATACTTAGAGCGGAACAATCTCAGTACATCTTCCAGCTACAAATACATAGTATCTGCTGTGATTACTTTCCCAAACATTTCTGGATAAGGCTGAACTCCATGGTTTATCTTTTCAACTTTAATTTCTGTGTGAAGCAGACATTTGTTTTGCTAAGCAATACTTCCCTACATTATACTGCAGTGTGAACAAGGTCTATACAGATTCCCAGTTAGAAGCAGTTCAGCAGTGGAAAGTCTGTTCTCATTTGCTATTTAAGACAATGATTTATTTTTATTCCAGTATGGCAATAATCAAATTAAAGTGGTTGTAAAGGCTAAAGGTTTTATTTTACCATAATGCATTCTCTGCAGCACCCCTCCTGCCCCTCCAAATACTTACCTGATCCAAATCTCGATCCAGTGATGTGCCTGAGCGTAACGGCACTGCTTTCTCTCTCCCTCCTCATTGGACACTCTCTCCTCACCCTACCATTGGCTCCTGCCAATCAAATCCAGGGACGAAGGAGTGGGAGGCAGGACTGTCACGCACTGTGTGTCAATCGATACATAGAGCGCGGCTCGGGATTGAGCTCATATGTGTGCCACCATAGGAAGCTTGCTATGGTGGCATCCCAGAGCTCAGGCGGGGGACCCCAGGAAAGGAGGATAAGGTTTGCTTTGTGCAAAACCATCGCAGAGAGCAGGTAAGTATGACATGTTTGTTATTTGAAAAAAACAAACAAATTTTGCAATCACTTTAATGGAAGTAAGAAAGCAATCTATGCCATGGCAAGAAAGTGCATTTTATAAATGAGTTCTATAGATCAGTTTGTAATCATTCAATAAATATTTTAATGCTGAACTCCAGAAAAAATGTTTTGGCTATACAGCACTAGTGAAATAATATATCTATATATCTATGAAGAGTATCCTATGTCTTGGCTTCTCTGGTTACTGTTTACTGTACAAACCTTCCCTTCAATGAAGCATCATACTACACACAGTGGTGATCTTCCGGGATGAGAGGCAGTGGCTGCAATAGTGAATGATCCTGTCATTCTCCCTTCTTTTCTTCTCCCCTTGTCAGTTCACTAAAGTCTTGTATTCTTCAGAATGCATACTGTTATGGACAAGGGTTGATCCTGATTTTCGTCTATCCCTGCTCTTCCTTCTTCCATTCACAGAACATCTTGCAATCTGTGAATAGACTACATGGGTATTTATGAATGGAGAGGAAAGTGAGGGCAAATGACAGCATTCTTCACTGTCTCAGCCATTGCTTCTCATCCCCACAGTGCTAGAAGATCACCAGCCAGTCAGATATAAGGATCTCTTCATTAGAAGTAAATTATTTGACTGTGTCCATTATACAAAAGTGTGGTGCTGCAACCTATGAAATACAGACACCGAGGGGTTTATTTACTAAACCTGGTTGACTCAGAATCTTGGGCACGTGTGCATGGTAGCCAATCAGCTTCTAACCTCAGCATGTTCAGTTAAGCTTCAGCAATAAAACCTGGAAGCTGATTGGTTTTTATGCAGAAGTGGACAAGATTCTGAGTCAACCAGGTTTAGTAAATAAACCCCCGAATGTCTGGCTGCCGACCTTTCTCTAGTTGGATGTAAATTATTTGATTGGTACTGTAAAAAGTTAGCTTTGATTTTCATTTACCCAAACTATTCTGTGATCCCATTAAAGTAAATATGTGTTTTGTCTACTGCATTTAGTGCAAAACAGCAGGTTCACTGTTCACTGTAATGCAGACCTCCACATATGCCTGTACTTACCTCCTGCTGCTGTGGACCCCCTTGTGACAGTGCTGCTTCGCCCAGCACTGCACATGCAGTGAGTCGCATGCTTCCCCATACCAAGAAGTACCATGTGTTTCTTTCAGCACCCGGTGCTGAACAAAGCAGCAGGGGAGTGAGGGAAACGTAAGTATATATTGCTGGGGAGGTCTATTGCAAATCTGTTGTGTTGCCTTGTAGAGTCAAAGCACTGGTAACTTTGAAAAAAAAATTTAGTGTCTCAGTAACTAGCAAAAGAACAGGGGCACCATACAACTGCTACCCTAAGGTACCTGCTCCTCCATTAACATAACTGCCGCCCTACTGGTCTGCTGCCGAAGCTCTAATGAAGAACCTGAACTTCCAATTAGTGAACACCCCCTTCAGCCTTCCACAATCCAGTACTAGGTGACTGAGCTGCCTTTTACCAGATTCAAGCAGTGGCATGTGAGTTGGTCTAGCCCTACGCAAATAGTGACTTTGAAAAAATGGTATGCTGAGGAGCACATGAACCAACAATCCCTTGTATTATGCCAATCATCCTTGTTTGTAAGGCATAGCATATACAGTACATTCAATGATTATCACTAGGACACAATCCTCAAGAGGTCTCTTTAGGATTACATTTTCATTGTATAGTGCATATCTTAACAGTTTATTTAAACTGTGAGCATCTGTACATGACTTCCAACCTGCACAATCTTTTCTTTGACATACACAGAATTTTTGTTGATAATTTTTACCACATAAATATCAAGTTAATAACATGCCTGGTGCAGGGGCGGACTGAAAACTCATGGGGCCCCCGGGCAATAGGGGATCATGGGGCCCCTGTGTCCTTGCCCAAACTCATAAAAGCCTATGAAAAAAGTACCAGGGGCATCTCATGGGGCCCCTTACTGACCCCGGGCCCTCGGGCAGTGCCCGAGTTTCCAAATGCTCAGTCTGCCCCTGGCCTGGTGTAGCATGGGTAACTACACTCCCCAGCCACTTTATTAGGTACACCAGTTTAACTGCTTGATAACACAAATTGCTAATCAGCCAATCACATGGCAGCAACTCAATGTATTTAGGCATCTTGACGTGGTAAAGATAACTTGCTGAAGTTCAAACCGAGCATCAGAATGGGGAAGAAAGGGGATTTAAGTGACTTTAAACGTGGCATGGTTGTTGGTACCAGACAGGCTGGTCTGAGTATTTCAAAAACTGCAAATCTACTGGGATTTTCATGCAAAACCATCTCTAGGGTTTACAGAGAATGGTCTGAAAAAGAGAAAATATCCAGTGAGTGTCAGTTGTATGGATGAAAATGCCTTGTTGATGTCAGAGGTCAGAAGAGAATGGGCAGACTGGTTTGAGATGATAGAAAGACAACAGTAACTCATGTCAATATGGACCAAAATCTCTGAGGAGTGTTTCCAACACCTTGTTGAATCTATGTCCCAAAGAATGAAGGCAGTTCTGAAGGCAAAAGGGGGTCCAACCCGGTACTAGCATGGTGTAACTAATAAAATGGTTGGTGAGTGTAGGCATGTATTAACAATATGATACATTAGGAATGAACAAGTTGTACGAAGAAACAAGTTATACCTTCAAATACATCACTGTTTATGCAGTAGTTGCAGAGGTTGACCATTGTCATTGCTACTATTAGATGCACAGTGATTGCCACAGTTTATTTATGTCTGGTAAGATTTTTGCTAGGTATATTAAGTGACTGTACATAAAACACAGGGTGGTCTTATATTAAATATAGGAGGATAGTTTTATGCTTAAGCCAAGACCAGATATACTGTATGCTTCGTCTAGTTTATAATTTGTTTTTTTTAGCCTTTGAAGATGTCACGTTTTATTAATATCCATTTTCAGTAACAATTACAATGTTATTTTTACATCTCCTGTATCATGTATAGAAGCCAAATTCCGCAAATTACCTTTCTATCCGGTCTGCTGATCTTCAGCCTACAAGCAATAAAGAAAAATATTAGATAACTGTAACCGAGTCCCATTTTTTAGTGCTACAATATTTTGCTACCGTATGCCTTAGGTTTCCAAAATGTATTGGTGCATCTTACCCTTGGGAACCGAATATTGCTCTCCACTTATCGAGTGCAGAAATTTTGCTGGTGATATCTTCTAATTCCATTTCTTTGAAGCTGGGTGCTTTCTGGGTTCTGTCTGCAGGTTGCTTTTCCATCAGAAGCTGGAGGAGGCATGGAAACACATAATAATTGGCTCCTTCTTTTTATAAGCCACATCCAAGGTAGACATTGCATTCCTAACAATGCCCAGGTTGAAACTTACTGACAAAGTGTCACTAGTCTGAGTGGGCTGTAAGCTCACACCAACACATCATGATTAATCTTTTATCAGAGCTCAACAAACTTCTCTGTTCTTTTCAACCCTTTTTTTTTTTTTTGTATTCTTTCCTTTTTATTCTGGCTGTATAAATATAGTTCACCTCACCTTTTCACAAAATCATGGTTGAGATTTGGCCTAGTATTACATATCTAATTCCCTGTGGCTTGAATAATTTAGATGTGCGAATTATACTCATTGAACGGAATAAACGTTGTCACCATTTATTTTAGGTCCTGTTATGGACGGAGATTGAGGGTTTTGATAACACCTTCACCTTCTTACCCTAGGCTAAAGCTGGCCATACATGGATCAAAATTTGGTCAGTTCAGCAAGGACCGGCAGAATTTGGATCCATGTGTTCTCACTGTGGTTGAACAGAAGTCAGTCGACCCTGTCTGTATATTTTTGCTCGATCAGTGCTGCAGGCAATACACAGCTGTGCTGATCTGTGTATTCTGACAGCGGGGAGTCTCCTCACTCTCAGAATACAATGACACAGCAGGAAGGATTCCCACATCCACATTAAAGGTGTGGATGGGGAAATTGAACAAAAAAAATGAACCCATGTATGGTCAGCTTAACTGTCATGACTCATCTGAAAAAAAAAAATCTGAAAAATAAGGATAGTGATATTACAGTAAATAGAAAAAAATCTGTGAAGATCTCACCCTGGGCTCATGGGTTCAGGTGGCCAAATCATGACTGCTCCTCCACATTATCACAGGCTTTGTATTCACATTGCTTTACTTACAAAATCTACATTTCCCCCTTTATTTGTTCTGTTATCTGTTTCAAACCATAATATAAATGGACCTTCCAGTTGTAGTTTTTTACAAACAAGAAGCAAGAGGACATCCCCAATGGGAAAACAGATAGGAATAAAAAGCGTAACTAAACTCAGCAACAAAATGTAACATATTACATCTTACTAGTCCTTAGATGTAGTGGCTGCATTCAATTTCTCTTTAAGTACATTTTCTGAAAGTTTAAAAGATACATTTATTGATCCTGTCAGAAATTTTGTGTCCTTTTAACATTATGTGTATTTAACTGAAATCTCAAACAATGATATTAGCTTTCCCAGCTAAATTCTATAAACTACAAAACAACTCCCCTCCATGTAATGGGGATGAGGTGAGAGGGAGGTGTCTGTAGTCTAAATCAGGAGCAGCCAAGAGTGCCAACACTGCTCCTCCTTCTAACTGCACCCTCTTCATAGATTGAGAATGCTAGGGTAGCTCCATTGCTCCTACATAGAGTGGAGAAACTCTAAGACCAGAAGTGTTTTACTGGCCAGATCACCAGGTAAAAAGAGAGGAAAAATGCCTAAAAAAGAAATGTAATGCAGCCACAACTTTTAAGGATTCGTAAGCTGTAATATTTTCAAATTTTGTTTTTGGGTTTACCCTTGGGTTTACACTAGCCCACAGGCTGAGGGCTGGTTGTGGGTGCAGGAATTGCACCTGTTTCCGCACCGCAACCACCGGCAGCCAAATTGTGCTGCTGTTGCGAAATACACAGGGCTGACATTTATTGGGGTGGGATAGCTGGGATGAGTGGTTGGGGGATGGGATAGGTAGACAGTGCTGGAAGCTAATGTGACTGCAGTGGAAAAGGGGGGGGGAGCTGAGAAGGTTGGAAAGTTGCTAGGTGGCAGAAGAGGACATTTATACTGTACAGTGAGGTAGCAAACAGCAAAGGGAGGTGGAATGTGAATAAACTAAGAGTAAGATAGATAGTAATGAGAGCGGATAGGAGAGGTGGATAATGACAAGTTGGCCATTGAAATGTTTGACAGTTGTGGATTGGAGGTTGAAAAATGGGAAGGGGGAAAGGGGGAATAAACTAAATGAGCAAGGAGTGGTGACACTAAGATTAGAGCAGGGCAGCCATCAGAAATAGCCATCAGAAATTTTGGGGTCCCTTGCACAGCTTTAGGCCTGGGTCCACCCAGGCCTGACCACCAACATTCCCTAGGTCCCATCCACTGGCCGTCCTAGAATATGCCTACTGGCCATCCCACCATGTCCTCCTCCTCCATCCCATCTTGATCATACCATGTCCTCCTCCTTCTCCATCCCATGTCCTCCTCCTCCTCCAGTCCCATCTCCTCCATCCCATGTCTTCTTCCATCCCATGCCCTTCTCCAGTCCCATCTTCCCCATCACATGTCCTATACTTCCAGTATCATTTCCCACATCCCATGTCCTGCTCCTCTTCCAATCCCATCTCCTCCAGCCTAAGCCCTCCTGCTCCTCCATTCCATGTTTTCCTCCTCAAGTCCCATTTCCTCCATGCCATGTCCTCCTCATTCTCCATCCCATGTTCTCCTCCTCCAGTCCTATCTCCTCCATCTCATGTCCTCCTCCTCGACCAGTCCCATCTCCGCCATCCCAGGAAAATACAGGCGAACGGTTCTAATAAATGCCGCCCCTCATGTTCTGGTGTGTCAGGGAGGCTGCACGGGTCCCCTGAAGCTGCACCCACAGTCCTGTCTGAATAATGTGTCTGGGTTTCAGGTGGACTGAAACCTGCACACGTGATTCAAAACCTGGACTGTCTGGGTGAATCCCAGACAGGTGGCAACCCTAGTGTCACCCCATAAACTGATAGCAGCCAGTGTGGCCCCCAGACAATGTGTAGAAGAGCAACACAGTGTTGGGCCCCAAAACACAATGCAGTAGAGCAGCAGAATGAGTCCCCTGGGTGCTCCAGAATACAGTGTAGGAAAGCAGCAGAATGTGGCCCCAGGGTCCCAAAACACAGAATATAAGTGCAGCACAGTATGGTCCCTGGGGTCCCAGCATACTATCAAGGAGGGAGACATTAGAATGTAGCTCCCCTACACAATATAGAAGAGCAGAACGGTGTGCCCCCCCCTAAACCATATTGTAACACATACAGCCTGTCCCTGTGTGGCCTCCAGGTCCCCTCCTCACACATTCCAGCAAAACCCCATGTCAGCCTCACCTGGATGAACTTCCTGACCCCGCCTCCTACCACCACCACCAGCTGGTACTTCTTCTGCTTGGTGCCCTCCCATCGGACATTCCGTGGTCCACACCAGAGCCTCACCAACTGAGCAGAGCCGTTCTGGAGGTGGGGCCTCACTGCAGGCTGGAGAACAGGGGAGGGTGAGGCCTACAGCTGTGTGTGAATGTGAGTGACGGACAGGACTACCCAAATAGTGGGAAGGAAGGAGGTGGGAGGCAGATGCGGGAAGTCATCGGGCAGCCGTGACCAACAAAGGAGAAGGGAATGACAAGCCAGCTGGATTGACAGCGGTGGATAACAGGTGGGAGTGGTTAGGGGGTTTTAGTCATCAGATGTCAAGGACGCTGTGACCAGCTCCTTAACAACCGATAATTGCCAGCATTTTTTTGTTTACATTTCAGCTGTCAGAGGGGAATCCAGCTGACAGTTGAAATAACCAAGCCTGAAGGTATTAGTTTTTAGTATCGGTGCATTTGCATGAGTACCGATATTCATGCAAATGCCTAATGTCGGCACCAATACCGGTATCGGTGCAGCCCTGCGTTGTTTTCAAGTGAACCTGTGCCCAGACTATGCACACTATCGCATGGAAAAATTCTTAGCAAACAATAAAAGTACTTTGAAACAAAACACCATTCATCTTTATAGCTATAGACATTGTGGAGAAATTAATTTCCAAAATTCACACCACAGGCAATAAACTTCTTTCTATGGGAGCAGAATTTTGCCCTCTATTGTGTACACTTAGTACTAAACAATGTTATCGTCTTTGTGACCTTTGTGAATAACATCACATTGAAAATCGGCTAGTGATTGATATGTAAGTTGTTTACTGTCCATAATTTGAGCACAGGTGCACTCATGGAACAAGCAGATTCTCTTTTAGGTTTTATTGTCTGCATCCTTGTGGGGTGTCCTTTCTCAGGTACAGTGGTCCCCAAAATATCCAGTGTGAGGTAATTTCCATAACAGGGAGGCAGTAAAACTTGACAGGTTCTAAGCCTTCCCCTTCAATCTAATACTATTCAATTAAAACATCTTGGTAAGTAACAAAGATTACCAGAAAAGCTTTGCTTCCTGGCTGCCAAATCTTTAATAAATACCCATGGCCTAGCTTTTGTTCGAATCTGTCATAGCTGTGCTAATAGCAGCTAAGCACAAAAACATACTAACAATGTTCTCCACACTAATGACTTCTCATATTGCACTTCCTATTCACTGTTATCATTCAGCAAGTTCTATGTAATGAAATCATCTAAATGTGTGGTAATATGAAACCCAAACAATTTCAACAGTACCATGACTCTTCTTATTTGCCTGGACTGTAAAGTGTCATATACAGTAGAAAAATATACAGTGCCTTGAAAAAGTATTCATACCTTTCTCTACATTTTATCATGTTACAACCAAAAACATAAATTAATTTTATTGGGATTTTATGTGATAGACCAACACATAATTGCAAGGTGGAAGAAAATGATAAATGGTTTTCAAAATTTTTAAAAATTTTTTTCAAATAAATATCTGGAAAGTGTGGCATGCATTTGTATTCATCCTCCCTGAGCCAATACTTTGTAGAACCACCTTTCACTGCAATTACAGCTGCAAGTCTTTTTGGGGATGTCTCTACCAGCTTTGCACATCTAGAAAATGACATTTTTGCCCATTCTTCTTTGCAAAATAGCTCAAGCTCTGTCAGACTGGATGGAGAGCATCTGTTAACAGCAATTTTCAAGTCTTGCCACAGATTCTCAACTGGATTTAGGTCTGGACTTTGACTGGGCCATTCTAACACATGAATATGCTTTGATCTAAACCATTCCATTGTAGCTCTGACTATAT